TTCTCTACCACACAGACGGGTTCACCTTACATTCGAACGTGCGCTGTTGTCATGGGGCTTCCAATAGAATCACTCGAAAACTGTGGAGTAAAACCTGGAATAACTATGGAGTTAAATCATGAAACAAGTTGTCCACTGTGGCAGCCTTAAATGCTTGCCAAGAATCACTAAACGACAAATTTGCATGTTTTTTCTTTACCTTAAAATTTCATGCCTTTAAACGAGCAACCAAGTCGCGGGAAAAAATTACCTTGACTACATATCTGAACAGAAGCCTGTGAGCTGCAGTTTCTGGCAGGGATAAAAATATTCGTCTTCCGTCACAGGAGATGTCAAATACGATGATAAGTCTTGGTTCCGTTATCACACCGCATTTTCCAGAGCATGATCATTCAGATGATTTGAAAATTCATTTTCTCAGTTTTTTTGTTATCTATAAAGCATAAGATGAATTCTTTTTCGACCTAAAATGGGTATCTCTTCCACTCCTAAGAATGTAGTTCGCATGATAGAAGATTTTCTATGCTTTCTTTGGATGTTAATATGAACATTGCCCTCAAAACTTTCCGTTCGAGTGTATATTCAAAGCGCCTCTAGAGAGATTTGCCTTATAGGCATAAGGAGGATTGTAAGCCTTTGATTATGTTAGATCTTCGTGGCTAAGAAACACTGTACACACTAACCCCTTCCCCTGTTTGATTTTTACCATGGTTGTTGCCCAATCTCCACAGTCTGAGTATCGAGACCTGGTTTGATGTCCCAGCATCCCTAATAATCATTCCCATATAAGTGCAAGTATCAGGAAGTTAGGTTTGTTGTGCAGTGTAAACAGTTTCGCCCTGTATATCAGAAAACTCGATTTCTTACAGCAGCGTGAATATTTCTTATTTATGCTAATTTCTCTGAACGAGAAAAAGGCAAAAATTGGAAACGGAGTAGCAAGTCGATAACCTGCGAACAGTAGTAGCTATATAATTAGCTCTTTTGATAATGCTGGAGCTCAATGGGTGTGTAATTATGCTCTTCGAGCTGTCGCGTTATCGGCCCTACAGACGACAATGAAATGAGATGATTCATAAATGAAATTTATGAAGAAACGTCGTCCTTCTGAACAAAGGATTGCATTTTTGATAATTGAAGATTCGAGGAGTTAGGAATAATAAACATGCATTTTTCTGTTTACCTATGATTACGTGTAGACTTTTGAAGCTTACGGTTTTATTTGAATGAAGTATGTTCGATTAATTGTTAATTACCATATGTTAAACGTTCGTAATTAAGCTCTTTGAGGTGGACGCGTATCTGACATTTGAATCCAAGAACCAGCGGGTTCGCTATGAATGGATCTTCGATATTCGAGTACCGAAACGCGTGTATTATTTGGTTGCCATAAACGAGTCAGAGATGAACTCATGGGTGAACGATTTATGTTGCGTATGTAATTTGCAAAAGGAGGACGAGCCTCAGTCAGGTAAGCAACCTCATTAAGAAAACATTTTGCTGTTCTTGAATCAATTAAAAGGATATGCGATACTTGCCTAAAGAAACAGTGAAAGGTGTCAGTGCGCTTGCATTTTTTTAAACTAAGATGAATATAAATGTATAATAACTGGAAGTATGAAATTGAAATTGTGGAAAATTATCCGTTTAGCAGAAAACTACATGATATCCTCGTTTTACGGTTCTTCCCCTGATTGTTATATTCTTATTCACACCATCTACTATACTTCTCGAAATGTAAGACACCTTACAGTGACGCTAGGACCTTTAGTTGGTATTCTGAGAGACTCCTGTCCGAGGTACAGGTGCTACAGTAGCATTCATCTATAGCCTGCTTGAAACTTCCCTGGGGTTCTTGAAGCAGGAAGCACTGAATAATCCCATAAATCCAGAGAAAGGACGTCCGTATAATAATTTGTTTTCTGACTCTCTTTGCATGTGAGGTTCTGTTAGGAATCAAAATGGAATTTGAGGAGTTCAGTTCTCTTCACGTGTGTTTCGGATAAGAAGGTGCTAAAATCTTTCCATCAGGTTTATGTATCTGAATCGAGGCTGACATAAGTGTTACAATGGAGTAAGCCTGAAAGTCACTAAAATCTGTTTTGAAAGCACGTTTTGATTTTCCATGGTTAGCTCAGACCCTCGCAGGAGATTACTAGCTGGCAAATTGGAGCAAGTTTGAGAAGCGGTAATGTGCTGTTGAAAGTAACATTTTATTTTGATCCATTGGTACTTTAAGAACATTTGTTTTTGCATGGTTAATTCATATTGTAGTACAGTTTACTTATTAAAAACGTATACGTTGCTGTGTCTAGGTACTGAAAGAAGTTCTCTCATTACGCATACCGCGAACGTTGACCAATGTGCCGAAAACAACAGCTTAGCTGCTGCGACTAAGTACAGCAACGGGTTTCCGAATCGTGTGCCGCTTGGAAATTCGACGATGGTGCAGCCTGCTGATCGGAGCACCGTTTCAGTAGCAAATGGGGCTATTAACAGGACCAGTGCTCAGGGATACATACCTCTGACGGACTGCATCAGCGGACCTCCAAGGCCGGTGCGAGACTTACGGGATCGTTTCCAAATGAATCATAAACCTGCCGCCACCGTCGTCCCTGTTACTGACAGGCCTCCGTCGCATCCCCCTCCGCCATTGCCCCAGCTCTCGGACGACAGTGTCAGGCACAGTGCACAAAATTCGTCCGTTTTTGATGTCACTGTTTTCGGTTTTTCGTTTCAGTACCATGGCCAGTAGCCCAAGTTCGAAGGCGACTGTCGATTCCAGTGCAGCCATGGATGTGAACGATGGACAGTGCTTCGGGAAGGGTAGCGAGCGCGTTCCTTTCGTCGAGCACGTTACATTAAAACCGGAATCCATCCCGGTTCCTCCGCCACCTCGCTCCCCCGCACGAACGATACCACACGACATGTGTGCCATCAGCCGCTGCTCTCCTCCCCCTCGACCACCGAAACGCGGCGAATTCACGGCGACCGACAGAAAAGATATTGGCTGCTTTCTGCCTCCGGTGATCGACTCATCCGTTTCTGAAGACGAGTTTCACAGTCTGCCTCGAAACCAAAAACGCAAAATAAGCAGCGCGGCACAGTGTTCATTGTCGTCTTCCTTCTTTGAGTCCAACACTCTACCACTTCCCGTTCGGAATAATGACCTCGGTATGTCTTTTGCTTTTCTCTTCGCTGCCTACGCTACGTCTTTACCGTGTTTGTTCAGAAATGAGGTCTGACGAAGAGTCGAAGATCAGCGGCAGCCTGCAGATCTCTGACAGCGCTTCGACTATCTCAAATTCAGTGTCCAGTGAAAACGTTCCGATGGACGACTATCAGAACATGACTCTGCCTCCAAAGTCCGCTGGTTTGCGGCTGCCACCGACCGCTGAACCTCCTGAGGTGCATCGGGAGTTAAAACCCCAGCGGTACAAAACATCGTTCGGCAGCAACGCTCTGCATATACCTTCCTCCAAAGAGACACAACCTCACTTGCCTTATCGGATCGACCGCGAACAGAAACCGGGTGTCAGTGGCATTGGCCGCAGAAACGTTAACGTCTCTTCAATCGATTTGAGCCGTAGAATCAGTTTTTCTAAAAGGTTATGTCTTATTCAGTTTGAAATATGTAAATCGCTTGTGTACATACCGTTTAAAGCGTATGTTAGTACTTTTTTTTGTTCTTCGCGCAGAAGTCGTGTCAGCTGTTCACATGAACATTGTTACTTCGCTAAAGATATCTGTGAATACAGGTTCATGTCCCTACCACCGCCTGAGAGGATGATAAAATCCTGTGTCTGGATAAAGTAGTACGGAAAAGGTGAGGCAGACGTTCGTGGTAATTCTCGAAATAGTCAGCTGATAGTTTTCTTTGTGTCTGTAATGCAGACGCATCTCACAAAAGGACATTCTAACTGAAAAGCTTGATAGAAGGCTTTCGGACTGTGTATGCTCAAAAAGAAAACATTCTACAACATGATTTACTATGGTTTCTGGGCATTGTTCGATCCTTCGTTGGATTACGTCGCTGCCACACAAAGCGGTTTTTATGGCCAAGGAAGGAATGGTTTGTTTTTCAGAAAACTGCTTTCAGTAGTGTTTGTAGCACGTCTTACAAGTAATAAGATATGTTGACTGTTAATCATTCACACAAAGAAAGTTTTGAAAGAAACCAGTTCAGAACATTAACGTAATATCTGAAGTATCGAGTTTAGATATAACGTCGGCTACGTTGTTTCTTGTGATCTTCATTCGAGCCGTATGGAGTTATGATGTCTGTCTCATTCTCAGCGCTTCCGGGCATTTGCTGTGTTTCATGGTACGGGCAATAAATCCTTTATGAACGCAGGTCTGCCTCTTTATTTAATCCACGTTCCGCACTGGCCTCTTTCTCTGTATTTTTTTTTGTTCTTGCATAAAGGTTCCCAAGTTTTGGTGACGAATTTATGCTAAATAAATTTTTAAATCAGGCTGCACCTTCTTTTTATTACCACAGCTTTACACGCCTCTTTCCAGAAAATAATAGTCTGTTTATTAAAATTTTCAACTTTGTAGATTTATCAAACTAATTTGCATTCACTTTATGAGATAAGAACTTCTGCTTTAAAACAAAATTGTAAAACAACTTGGCTGTTTGTTTCGGATAATTATTTAACTAGCTCTCTTGAAGGCGCGACGCAAACGGCGCAGAATCTTCCAGCAGGGTTGGAATGGTGAGCCCGCGTCGCCGAAGAAGGGCCACGTCTACGAGTGCGTCGTTAACCGAATCGGTAAGCTTCTTCAAAACAGTTCTGCTGTAATATTTCGAGAAGGTTGGCAGGGATAATTACGTAGTGTTGAGGTTTGCTCGACATTGTTCCACCGGCTTTTTCCTCTCTTTATCATACAAATGGCAAGAAACCATGTTTATTTTTTTCCATTTTATATCGTCTAGGGTCATAATTAGGACTCTCCTTAATTGTAGTTCGTTCCAGCGTCGTTGTTGGTAGTCGTCTTCCGGTCAGACGAAAACCAGTTTATGAAAGTTTTTATCTTTCTTTAAAGAATAATAATAATTGTCGTCCCCATTTTTCTCGGTAAAGTCATAGTGCACGAATTTTTCGTTAATCAGCCATATCCGACTTCGTAACGTTTTCTCACGGCTCAGGATAATATGCCCAGTCCTGATTTTCCTTGACTTAAAATATTTTACTTTTGACCCTTGCTCGCTCTAGTTTACGATTTCGAAGATTTTACGCTATTTTGCATTTGTAGATATTTTTTGTTATTCTTGCTTTTCAGGACGAAGAAGAAGCTTCATCAGATGCCGCCCCTCAAATGGAATACGTTGAACTGAAAGAAGAAGAAGCGACAAGCGCCCTTAGGCTGCCACTCTCAACGACGACCGGATCGTCTGTCGTCGAACAGACCACCGGCAAGCCGCTAATGAAAACTTCTTACGTGATCATTAGTCAGGAAAAAACTCAAGCTTTAATTAAGACGAAAAGTGAACAAGACACGATGTACCGCATAGGTACACTGGAAAGAAGCCCTAAATGTCCACAGAAGAGAATGTAAGCATCGCAGTTAAAGAAAAAATTACCATCATTGTTCCTTGTTATCGTCCGTCTTTTATCAGTCACTTCTATCCGGTTCACTTTTAAAGTAACATTTCTTGGATGTTCTAATTTATTGCTCATTTTTGACTTGTTTTCTGTCAGATTGTTTATATTTTTAATCCGCAACTGTTTTAGCCACTGCTGATTTTATACATATATTAACCTATTGTAATTGTTGCTTAATTAATTTAATTCATTTGATTTTAATTAAAATTGCTGTTCCTTTGTGAACTTATTTCGTTTTAAGCCGTTCATAGTAAAAAATCGATCACTACTCTTGGTGATCAGCGGCAAGATTCAAGCGCTGTGCTGCTTGGTGTTTAGGCGCCGATTATTTTGTATTTTCTTCGTTGTTTGGTCTTACTCATTGTGGGAAAAATGTTTTTTTTAATGTTAATAAACGAAGGCGCGACAGATCGGTGACATGCGGTGATTTCCGTATTATGAATTACACCGCAGCTGAAAATTACTGTTGTGATTTTAACGATGGTTTGTGATGCCTGCAGTACAGTAAAGATTTTGTCTTCATTCTCGTTGCGTTACGGTGTTTAAGCTGGGAAGGTGCATAAAATTTAATTCATAACTGACTCCTAGGTAAGAGACTGGGAATAGTCAAAGTGGCTAAGCCCACTTGCCATCTATTCCACTAGTAAATAGGCATTATGAGCAAAATATCTAGGTGTACAAATGTGTTAATAGGCTATTTAAGTATCCGGTCCTACGACAAAGGATAAGCATGTAAGAACTCTGCTCGATTGGTGAATTTTAACAAAGGTCACTAAGTAACTATTAAAGCAGCAAATATATTATTGGTTGCTAGCCAGACCAATGACAAGGGAGGAAAGGGGAAACGCCTGGCTCACAATACCGTGAAGGAGACCGAAAGACCATAGTTTACCATTCAGTAAATAAACAAATGCGTAATGCAAAAGTATTTTGTGCAGATTTTCAATATGCCAACAGCGCATTAAGAAAATATTTAATCGTTATGATATGATGATAGCAGTGTTTAGCAGGTTTTACTTATGCTCAAAGAATCCAGTTGAAAAGATTAATCATCTCTGCGATACGACGTTGATGGACTTTGTCTTTATCCTGATAATGCAATCGGTTTTGTTAATGTAAACTGATGGAAATTTCTGTCGATGATCAATATTTGCAATACATCGTCGGTGCCTTAACCATGAATCTGTAAACCTTTTCAGCTGAGAATCGAAAAGTTTCAAGAAGCATCTGCAACTTTACTGCCTTAAAATGGCATTTACTACCGTTACCTTTCCTTTTCAGCAGTAGGCCTGTTTTAATGCATGAGCGGATCTGTTAACTTCTATTCGTATTGCGTCGTTAGCCGACTGTTTCTGAGTTCATTCAAGATTTCGATGATTGTTATGGCGGCTATGATGAACGTTCACTTCACTGTCAAGGTACTTTCGATTGCTTGTGTTACTTTCACCACCTGTTTTTTAACTGAAATTGCCTTGTTAACATGCAAGAAAAGTTCTGTCATTTTTTTCTCCGATTCAACAAACTCATTAGTTGAAACGGGTTGGGTACCATACTTCAAAAACTTTAACTACTTCAAACCCACAAGAAACGTGAAACTATGCCAAACTGCTCCGCAGTTGATTTTCTTAAATATTTTGAAATAGTCACATAAAGCTTCGCTGGTTCGGCCACGTTTAAAGAAGACCCAAGAAAATGTGGAATTTCCAAGACCTTGGAAACATGGTCCAAGCACCGACACTTCCGGAAAGAGGAAGACCGAAGACAAAGTGGTGCGACGTCGTCACGAACGATATGACACTGCAAGGAGTCTCTGAAGATATAACGAACGAGAGAAGAATGTGAAGGTGTTTGAATCGACTATCGGACCCCTATTATAAAGAACATACTAGGAAAATGGAGTCATTTTGCAGCTTCAGTCTATGGCTTTAAAAGCAGTGTATCTAGTAAAAAGTATTATTTGTCTAAATCAGCTTCAAAGGAACTATCAAAATGTTAAAGCATAATGTTGGCAACCTTCAGATTGGCTTATTTTGTAGACAAGGCTAAAATTCACATTTAACTACATTAATTTGTTAGACAACCCTTAACACGAATGAATATTAGAAACAGTTTTTATTGGTCATGTTATAAACAGCTAATAACAACAACCTTCCACAGGCCGGGTAGCTCAGTTGGTTAGAGCGCGGTGCTAATAACGCTGAGGTCGTGGGTTCGATCCCCACTCTGGCCACACGTTTTCTTTACCAGTCAACTATTTGAACTACCAGCGATTTTAAAATTCGTTGTTTCTCGTCGCATTTCGAATATCTATGCCGCGCGCTTCTGATCAATCACATTAAACGAGTCTACAAAATAATAAATGCACTACAAATTCCGATTTTGCAAAATATCCGCATTATTCACGATTTCATCATCAAGTTTTTGAAATGATCTCAGATGTAGAGATTTGACAAATAGCATGATTTTGATCATAAACAATAAATCTTATACATCCGGTAAAGCCTAACATTTCGATTTCAGTTGGGTATCATTAATTCAGGCACTAGCTGTTTGAAATTCGGAAATGGCTACGAAAGTAAGAAGCAGCTGCCGAATCTGTATATCATAAGGCTTCGCTGAAAGAAGAATTAGTGATGACCTACTTAACATTAGGTGATCATCCTCTTTACAATTCATTTCAAAGTTTGATAAGAAATAAGGTCTGTTGGCCGAAAGTTTTGCATTATTAGCTACCCTAGCACTCATCGTATCGTAAAAGATCGACTTGTATTATCAACTGATTATGGACGTTGCTGCAAATATATCGTCTGATTCACAACTATATATGCAGTCTTGTTACGGTTTAGAAATGAAGACAATTCTAGTTCGTTCAACTTCACTGGCGTACATAAATAAATGCAAAGTTTGCTCCCATTTTTGCAGTTGATCAGGTATGTTTATGCTTATCATGATTGAAAACTCCTCGCGCCATTGGAATAACGGGTGTATAAGGACGCGTTAAAACGTAAAAAAACTTTTCAATTCTTTCGTTATTCCAGTCATTCACTCGCAGTAGTTCCAGGACGGCCGCCTTCCAGACAAATAGTGAGTATAAGAACTAATCTAGTACTTAGAATTGAAAATCCTGTAGGTTCGAGTATTTCCTTTGTGCGTAAGCGCTCTGAACAACGCAAAAAACTGTTTATTCATAAACAACGCAAAAAGACGGAATTATTCAACAGAGCTTGGTACCGAAAGCATTATGATACATGCGTGAGAATTGTAACATCAGAATCATATGCCTACAGAGTCCAATGAAAATTCTTACTGTAGTGCACAGAAACATCCTCTTCGACTTAAATACAGAACACCTACAATTATTCAATCGTCAGGTACTAAATAAAATGAGCCCTGTTAGGGGATCCAAGCATCAAAGGATCACTTAAGACCTTCGAAACTGTTGTAGGAACGAAACTGCATATTTTCTGGAATGATCGTTAATCAAAGCATCTGCGCTGTCGTATCTGTATACGAATGTGCTTTCTTAAGTATGATTCGAATGAAACTGAAGTCCTTTACTTTGCCTAAGACCGGCTAAAGAACGCAGGCAGCAATTTTACGGAATGTCGAAAGATTTTAATAGAAGTGCAAACGGAACTTTGTCAAATTTTAAGCGCGGTGTGCCATCTTTATCTGAAAACTTTCTGTTATTATGATACGTAAACATAATGAATTTAACCATTCTCAAGCAGAAGAAATGAATCGGAATCTTACTGGATCTCTAGCTACAACTGTTATAGCATTCTGCGACACAATCGGCAAAAATTGAAACTGACAAACTTATATAAATCTCTTGCAATCTTTGTCGCTAGCTTCAGAATTTAAAGTCACAGTAGCGAAATACAGGTACAATGCGCTAAGGATTTTACCGATAAAACTTCAGGGTAAATAATTGGCAAAATCTAGCACTTTAAGAGTTTCTGAATAATGCTTGATTGCATAACATAGGAGATGCCATAATCTTCTTTGTCCAAATCATCAAATCAGTTAAAATATTTACCTCCATTTTTGTCGAAATTTCAGCCAATCAATTTTCCAATAAATTTCAATCAATCAAGATTCTCTCTACATGATTGATCTGCCCGTTGTTCCATATAGTAGTGGCACTGCTGCGTTCCGCTGATAACTACGCGTCTTTTCCTTCACCACAGATCAGCGATTTTATATAATGGCTCCTGGTGAGATATTTCCATGACCTGTACCTATATACTTTGCCGAACTTGAAAAATGTAAAAACCTGAAAGTCAAAACTTTTGATCTCATTATTCTCAGCACGATAAATACGAAAAACATTTTGTTTCGTTTAGTTTAGCGCTGTTTTAACAGAAATGAAACCAACTACTCCGATCTACTCTGAGGGAAAAAATTAAATATTCTGCTATTCGTTTAGGAGCTTCCTTCCCTTTCCTGCGGTACAGCTGTAGCCATGAATACAATCAGCGCGACTAACAGCGTGTGCTATATTCTTACCTTGCTTAACTACAGTCTCTTTCTTTACACAACGCAATACAAATTACAAATAAAATCAACGGTAAATATAATAATAATATCAATAAAATATTTTGCCTTTGTTAAAGTTCTTTAAACGTCAAGTAAACAAATGAGAACTGGTTTAAAATTTTGTCAGTAAGGCATTCCGAACTGATTTTTATTCGTTTTGAACTGAGAATAACGTTTGCCATTTGATCACGCGTCGATAGATCTCTTGGACTTCCTTTTTCGCCGGCAGCAAATGCAGCTGATTTCGAAAGAGTTAATTTTCTGTTAAAAATAGAGATTTATATTTGGCATAATTGCTCTGAAGAAGCTTAAT